ACAGGGCAATTTTCACAGAATGAGACCAAAGAATTCTAAAATATATATGGGCTACCCCCCTCCCCCCAAAAAAAACACATCAAAAACAGAATTGACAAAACAATACTGCAGAAAGAAAAATGAAGCTGGAAGAATAATGCTCCCAGACTTCAGACAACACCACAGAGCTACAGTCATCAAAATAGTGTGATGTTGGCACAAAAACAGACATATGGATCAATGTACTAAAATAGAGAGCCCAGAAATAAACCCACATAAGTACAGTCAATTAATCTTTGATAAAGGAGGAAAGAATATACAACAGAGAAAAGACAATCTTTTCAGCGAGTGGTGTTAAGAAAACTGGACAACTGCATGTAAATCAGTAAAATTAGAACACTTCTTCACACCATAAACAAAAATAAAATCAGAATGGCTTAAAGACTTAAACATAAGACACTATAGGCCTCCTAGAAGAAAACATGAATAAAACATTCTCTGCCATATATCTTAGCAGTGTTCTCTTAGGACTATCTACCCAGGCAATGGAAATAAATGCAAAACTAAACAAATGGCCTAGTTAAACTTTTAAGCTTTTGCACAACAAAGGAAACAATAGACCAAACAAAAAGACAACCTACTGAATGGGAGAAAATATTTTCAAATGATATAACATACAAAGGCTTAATTTCCAGAATATATAAATAGCTCATACAACTCAACAATGAAAAAAAAAAAAACAACCCAATCCAAAAATGAGCAGAAGATCTAAACAAACATTTCTCCAGTGAAGACGTACAAATGGCCAATAGGATCATGAACAAATGCTTAATACTGTTAATCATTAGAGAAATGCAAATAAAACTACAATAAGGTATCACCACACACCAGTCAGAATGGTCATTAATAAAAAGCCCACAAATGATAAATGCTGGAGAGGGTGTGGAGAAAAGGGAACCCTCCTACCCTGCTGGTGGGAATGCAGTTTGGTGCAGCCATTATTGGAAACAGTACAGAGATTCCTTAAAAAAGTGAAAATAAACGTACTCTATGATCCATCAATCCCACTCCTAGGCATATATTCAAAGGGAACTCTAATATGAAAAGATATATGCACCCCAGTGTTTATAGCAGCACCATTTATAACAACCAAGACAAGGAAGCAACCTAATGTCCATCGACAGATGACTGGATAAATTAAAGGTGGAATATACATACAATGGAATGCTACTCAGCCATATAAAAGAATAAAATGATGCTATTTGCAACAACATGGATGAAGCTGGAGATTGTCATACTAAATGAAGTAAGCCAGAAAGAGAAAGAAAAATATCATATGATATTACTTAAATGTGGAATCTAAAAATTGACATGAATGAACTTTTTTACAAAACAAAAACAGAATCACAGACACAGAAAACAAACTTATGGTTACTATAGGGGGAAGGTGAAGGGATAAATTAGGAGTCTGAGGTTTGCAGATACAAAGTACTACAGCTAAAATAGATAAACAACAAGGTCCTACTGTATAGCATAGGGAACTATATTCAGTATCCTATAATAGTG